TCCTGGGCTCAGGGGAACCTCCCACCTCAGCCTCCTGAGGACCAGGCTAATTTTACTTTTTATTTTTATTTATTTATTTATTTTAGAGATGTGGTCTTGCTATGTTGCCCAGACTGGTCTCAAACTCCTAGCCTTAAGCGATCCTCCTGAGTAGCTAGGATTCCAGGCATGGGTTACCAAGACCAGCTCAAATTTTTCATAATAAAAATCGAAAGATAGAAAGCATTTTTCTAGGAAGGAGGTAAACTGTTTTTCAACAAACACAGCAGAACTTGTATCTCTGAAGAAGGATGTCTTCAAAACAATCATCTCCAAGGGGTGGTGTCATTTCCTCCAGTGACACTGCAATTATTCAAAATATTTTGGGGGGTTCTATTTCAGAGATAGTTTATAAGACAAACTCCAAATCAGCCAAACTACTTGGTCATTAGATTTAGTTTTAGTGCCCAAACTAATCAGATCAGTTACCCACATTATTCTCCCAATTTGGCTGTTTTTAAAACTGAAGTCCTGCTCAAAAGGACTAGAAGTTTGACACTGAAGATAAATATGTTTCAAAAATATTTTAATAAATGCGGTTCTATTATAATTAGTTTATAACCTTAAATGGACTACTTTAAAGTGGATGAAATATTCAGGTGGGAAAATTCCCAGATGCTTAGCTTAAAAACACAATGAAAAAATAAATCACACTTTGTCATCTCATTTTGTACACCAGAGTTAAATAATGGCTTGACATAGGCTTTCTCTAATTAAAACTGGTCTTTAAAGAGAATATCATTTTTACCAAGGAATAATACTTAAAATGTAGTTTTTCAGTTTATAGCCCCTACAAAGGGCACAGATGAAGCTAAATCTGCAATTACTCTTTTATAAAAAGTATATTTTTAGGCCAGGTGTGGTGGCTCACACCTGTAATTCCAATGCTTTGCGGTGGCACGTGCCTGCAGTCCTAGCTACTTGGGAGGCTGAGGCAGGAGGCTCACTTGAGCCTGGAGCTTGTGGCTGCAGTGAGCTATGATCATACCACTGCACTCCAGTCTGGGTGACAGAGCAAGACCCCATCTCTTAAAAAAATATTTTCATAGTTTTAAAATGGATTTAAAATGACAATCACTTACAGTTACACAACTTTTTAGAATTATCTCTTTGCTATTTCGCATCAAAAAACAGGGACTAATAAACTACAAGAGAATAAGCCAAAGGTTTGAAGCCAATAATTACTTTGCAGCTACTATTAATCAAGCAGAAAAGCTATACAGATTTATATTCAAAAGTATACAGTCTTAGTCACTTATTTAAGTTCCTGGTCAAACCACAGGAGACCGGAGCATCCATGGGTTTCTGCTCCAAGCCTCCTGATGCCTACTTGATATAACACAAGAACCAAAAGAATGGAGATACTATATAAATC